TTCTAGATCCACAATAATAATAACAATAATAACAATATGAGTAAATGAAAAGTCCAAGACAATAAACAAATATTTTTTATATTTTCTAGAGCCTTTGCCATAGACTAAAAGGGCATGTTATCCTCTATTTCTCTTATTAATTTCATATTATCATGTTACTTGCAGTTGAAAGTTGATTTATTCTCACTAAGACCTAGATTTTGTCATAAGGGATTAAAGAAAATCCTTATTAAATGTTCTTTAAATTTTTTATTCAACTCTCATATGTTTAAAATTACTCATCAATTTACTCTATGAGAGAATACCCTAACAAAATTATATATGTGTGCATAGAGACATCAAGTATTTTTATTGGAGGGCTTAAAGTGAGTCGAGAATAATGTCATACATTAACTAGAAAATGATGTATACATTTGAGATAAGCGTATGACACTATCTAATAATATTTACCAAACAAAAAAAGCAGTCGAACTTAAGCGAGCCAAATTTACAAGGAGAGATGGCCACCATGCAAAATAAACAAATAAATAAGTAAAGGGTGTGGTTTCAATAAGGTTGCAACCTTAAACAATCCAATTAAGACGCACCTCCAAATTTTATCATAACATGTAATTTTGGTGTAAAATTTTTTTAGAATTATCTGAAAATCTACTTTCATATCTAATTATAAAATTTTAATCTCAAAAAACGTTTAAAATCAAGTAGATCTATAAATATATGAAACTCTTGAAAATGGAAGGTCTAGATAATGTGTTGCAAGATGCAATATATCTGGGACTCAAAATCCTTTTTTTTTTTTTTTTTCATATGCATACATCTCGATGTCGAAATGATCAATTAGAGGGTTCTTCAATATTAAAACAACATTTTCTACTGGATTTTTTAAGTGCATGTTTACTTCTACAGTTTAAGGTTACAACCTTATATAAACTTTTTCCATAAGTAAATAGAGCGGTTTCAATGGACTCATGTGGGGCACAGCATATCTTACTCCACTAGGAACAACGTACCTCATTCTTCGACTAGGCCAATTTTTAAGATCGGTCCCGGATTTGGATTTGAAACTATATATAGGATTTAGATCTGTATCTAGATTGATATCAATTCCAATTTTGTATATTATAAAAATAAATAAAATTACAAAAGTTAAAATAATAATATATATAATATATAAATCAATAAATAAATATATGTATATATTTTTAAAAAAAAAAAAAAATTGGATCCGAAAAATTCCTATTTGGATATAAATTTTGGATCGAGATCTGAATTTTATATAGTTTTTAAAAAACTGGATCCAAAAAATTCCTATTCAAATATAGATTTTGGATCGGGATCTGAAATTATGAATCTAGGATTCAAATTTTGAGTTTCAAATCCAAATCCGGTAAGTTCTCAGCCCTACATATGTTCTTGCAGTTGCATACAATATTTTTGGTAAAAAAAAAGTGGTGGAGAGTTTATTATGCAGCCACCAGCTAAAGCTCCCACTAACAAGTAACTATCATATCAAATCAATTGAATAATGAGTGAATTCAAAAGTTGGAACTAAGATTCCCATCCTCATTTTCAAAGAAACCTTTTTCTTTTTCCAAGTCCCCTTCACTACGCTATCACTTTACAAAAATGACCTCAACTTCCAAGAAGTAAGGATGGCAATATGCTACTCCTTTCCTGATAAATGTTTGTCCCTTAGAGAAGTGATTTCATGTTACTGCCTCATAGTAACATAATGAAACCTATTTTAAAAAATTATAATAGGTGCACTTGTTTAACTTTAATTTTTGAACATACACTCAATTTATTATGACGAATAATTTTTAAAAATACAACATAAAAATTGCTTGTTTTAACCCAATGAACATAGGCCATTTATTTATTGGAAATGATCAGATCCGGGCTTTAAAGAGTGTCTTTTTTTTTATTCCAATTTCTTGTAAATGGCCCTAATGACATTAGATGGACAATTCTAAAAAACAAAAAGATTTCTTTTGAGCTCTTAAAAGCCGAGATCTCAATGTCCATGAAAGGGATATTATGGATCCATTTTTCTAGAGTGACTGACTCATCTTGACATTTTCTAGGGTGCAATTTTTTTTTTTCGTTCTGGCAATTAATTGATGGGATGAAGAGAATGCAAATGCAAAATTCTGGATCATATAAATGCCACAAAAATAAATTTTTTTTATGCAGTTTCATTGTATTATCATGTAATAGTGACATAAAATCACTCCCACCATATGTATTTGTGTCTGTGTAAATTAAAAGGAGCGTCTTATAATTTTACATAAGGATGCAACCTTATAGTATTGAAGTAGGATGCAATCTCAAAAATCCAATAAAAAGGAGTACTTCAAGGTTAAGCTTATCTCAATATCAAGATGTATGATAAAACCAGAAAAAAAAAGAATCTCGAGTTTTAGAAATAGGGCATATTGTAACAAATTATCTGGACCGTTTATTTTCAAGATTTTAAAACGCTTATGGATCTACTCAATCTACATCATTTTTAAAATTTTAAATTTTGTAATTAAGGTTGAACATGAATTCTAAAGCCATCATAAAGTTTCTAACATCAAAACTACATCGTCTCATGACATGATTTTGAGATGCAAATTATATAGTATAAGGTGGCACCTTATACAAACCTCACCCATTATATTAACATATTCTATATATCTATCTCACATAACTTGGTTTTCTTTTTTCTTTTTTCTTTTTTTGGACTTCAACCATGAATTCTCTCATACAAAACTTGAGGGGCACAATGTTATTTCCTCACTCTCACAGAACTTGGAAGAATTTCATATTCATGACTTTCTCTCTCTCTCTCTCTCTCTAAAATTTGACCAAAGCATATTTGCATATTTAGGGTGGTAATTTAGGACAAAGCAAGAGGGCATTATTGTAAAAAACTCTAGGGCGTTACAGTATTTTGTCACATGGAAATCCTAGATTTGCGGCAATCAAAGTTGAAGACTTAAGGGACCATAATTCAATTACTTTATGCTTTAGGCCTACTTTTTAACTACCGATAGATTCTCGCCCCTCTCTTTTCCTGTTGGCGTGTACACAAACCAGCTTTTGTTTTTTTTTTCCTTCACCGCTAAACCAAACTTTGAAACTCATCTCTCAAAAGCCAGGCCAAATTTTTGAAAGGAAAAAGCTTATATAAGGGTGAGGCCCCTAAACAATCAAAATAAGGCGCACCCCTAAACAATCAAAATAAGGCGCACATCAAATATTCACTGGAAGATAAACAATCAAAATAAGGCGCACATCAAATATTCACTAGAAGATATTTGTTTTGATGCCCAAAAATCGATCATCTCGAACTTAAGATGTAGGGACATAAAAGAAATTGATTTCAAGTCGTGGAAACAATGCATCTTGTGATACTCTTTTTGGGCGGTCAATTTTCAAGTGTTCATAAATCTGCTCGTTCTATACTATTTTTTGAATATTTAATTGAGGCGTTCATAAATCTGTTTGCTCTACGCTATTTTTTGAAGATTTAAATTTCATAATTAAAAATGAAGATAAATTTTCAGGATATTATAAAGATTTCTAGTACTGAAATAAGGAGAGTTTATATAAGGATGCAATCTTATAATGTAGAACTACGGATGCCCTTCAAAAATCTATCAAAAAAGGTAGTTTTAATGTTAAGAAACCTTTTGATAGATCATCTCGACATCGAGATGTATGCTTATGAAAAATAAAAAGAATTTAAGTCTCAAAAATAGTGCATTTTACAATATATTATCTACACCGTCCATTTTCAAGATTTTCATATGTTTATAGATCTACTTGATTTTAACCATTTTTTAAATTTAAAATTTATAAATAGATATAAAAATAAATTTTGAGATAATCCTAATAACATTTTACATTAAAATTATGTACCATAATAAAATTTGAAAGTGCTCCTTACTTCTCCACCTAAGGATGCATCCATTTGCCAACCGCACCCTGAAATAATATCTTTCGACATTATTTGAAGATGAGCCTTATTTTGATGGTTTAGGGCCTAGGCCCTATACGAACAAGACTTGATGTCTAGGGCCTAGGCCCTGTACAAACCAGACTCGATGTCCCTCTCTAGCTAAGCCAAACTTTGAAAAAAAATGGCCATTCCACCTTTGAAACCATTCGCTCTCTACCCAACCGACCTTTGAAAACTGCTCTCTCTCTCTCTCTACGACCAACCACTCTCTCTCTCTCTCTCTCTCTCTCTCTCTCTCGTAC